CGCAATCAGCAGAAGCCCTTCCAGGTTTCTTCCCGTCTGAGCCACTGACCGCAGGAGGCCGGCCATCACCTGCCAGGGACGGCTCCGTGCGCGCCCTCGGGAAAGCACTTCCACGCCCTCCTGGATCTGCGTGGAGCAAGGACGCCCGGCTGTCGCCTTGGGGCATGGCACGGACCAGCAGGGTACAGTCTCGTTCCTCGCGATGCCCCGTCCCCTGGAGTCTGGCCTCGGCACCGATGATGGCGACAGGGGAGCCGGCGCTGCCACTGAGCCAGGAGCCCACGATCACGGAGCTGCCGGGCGATTCTCTGGGGAATTCCAATACACAGGGGGTTGTGGCGCACAGCCTCTCTGCCGCCGGAACCTTCTTAACGTCCAGCAAAACATGAGCAAGGAGCCCTGAGGGGGAGAGAGGCAGGTTGTCGAGCAGGCACACGCCACATCCCACCTGTGTGCAGTAGCCCACCTGTGCACTGAAGGGGTTAACCTGACCTTGGCACCTGCCCAGCTCCTGGGAGGTGTGCTCTGAGCCCTGGCAGTGTCCTGGTGCGCGTGTCTTTGCTTACCCGGAGCGCTGGGCTGCCCTGGAAGTCTCTGCCAGCAGTGTGACTTGTGGTGGGGGTGTGACAGATACAGGGGCAAAATCACCAGACCGGGACCTCACTTCCCACACTGTAGGCCGGCTCTCCAGGTCGCCGCACCCAGGACTCTCAGCATTTGCCTGTGGGTCACCATGTGGCGTCTCTTCTCTGTGACGCGACTCAATAACCCACTGCACGGGTGATGTCGCGGAGGGAGCAGGTGTGGCAGGGAGGGACACGGCGTTCAGACAGAAGCCAGAGCCAGAAGGGCTGGGCACTCAGCCAACAAAATTTTTGGTGACTATGGTGGAGGTGGGACAGGTGGCAGGTCATCTGCCAATCATAGATCACAAAATGACATCTACTACCTATTGTTTATCAAGCACTTCTTTCTTTAGCTTCTCATCGCTTCACCGCCCCGCCCACCCCAGCCTCCTCCCACCTGTCTCTCCTCCACTTACCCAGCCCTAGCACAGGCAGTGCCATGGATCTCAGGGCCCAGAGACGACTGGGGTGTATCCTGATGCTGCTGCTGCTGCTCTCAGACCGGGGTGTCCTGGGTTGGGGGAGGATCTGGAAGAGGTGAGAGGTGGGGCAGCAGTAATGGCATGGGGTCTTCCTAGGAAGAGGTCTGCTCTTACTTTTAAGGGGTCCTTGCCTTGCCAGTCACCATTTTGCAAATTAGGAGCCTCACGGGGCCTGGCCTGAAAGGACAAGGGTCGTCCCCGGATGAGTCCCAGTTGGTTCAAGGGAGTGTGCGCTCGAAGCTCTCTGTGGCTTGTCCCCTTCCCTACATGGTCCCAAGTCCATCTTTCCAAGCCAAAGAGAAAAAGCAACCCTTCCCCCACACATTCCACCTACTCCTACTTGGGGGCGGGGCTGACTCAGGCCACACTCCCTTTCCAGACCGTCTTCCAACCTCCAGACACAATGCAACTTCCTCCTGGTTCTTCCCAGCCAAGATGGAAGCCTCCTCAGTGGCCCTGGGCAGCTCCCATCTGATACCGTCCTTGGCTTCTTCTATGACTTCACTAAATATGCTCAGGGGGTCAAGGCTCTGGTTGGGCGGGGAAGACCATCTATTTCCCTGGCTCCTTCACACCTAGGGTGGCCGGTGTGATAGCACTGGCCAGAGAGCCCCACAGGGGCATGCTATAAGATTATTATAGTGGACAGGTTTTATTCAGCTTTTTTTTTTTTTTTTTTTTTTTTTTTTGGCAACCACAACTAAGTTCCAAAGCTTTTCTGCCTATAGTCCAAGCCAATACAAGCCCCAATCTCATTTTGAAAAACTGTTTCCGTAACAAAGAAAACTAGACTGGGAAAGAGCTGAAGGGGATGGTCATTTCCCCGCAGCAATAAATCAAAAGATACTGTTCTGTGCTACAAGATGCTTCAAGAAAGCTGGGTGGGCGCCCTGCGAAGCCGAGAGTGTTGGCACAAGGAGCATGGACCCTCGCCTCTGCAATACAGTTCTACATGAATATTCATGACTGGGAGTGTCTCGTCCTAATCTTTGTTCACACAAATCTGTCCTTGGAAGAACAATTTAAGCAAGTGGTCTTGGGAGACCCCAGAGATATCAGGCGGTATCCCAGATCCAAAGAAAACTTGTCTCCAAATAACATGGCATCTTGATGGGTGGTCTGACTTGTGGGCTTCTTGCTCTGGCGAGAAAAGTGCCAACATCTCCGTGTTCCTGCCTTGCACACCGTCAGCTCCACAACCAGCATGGCGTTGACTTATTTTTCTTGTCTTCCTGCATGGGTGAGGGCTTCTGCATGATGAATAGAATTGCATCTGTTCATCCTTGCCTTGTTCCTAATCTTGGATGGATGTGTTCAGTTTGTCATCATTAAGCTTGCTGGTGTCTGTTGGTTTTGACAAATTTTGTATAGCCTTTCTATCATCATGAGGGAGTTAGGTCCATCTTTTCTTGTAGTCCTATGCCTGGTCTTGAAATCAGAGTGATGACAGCCTCATGAAACCAAGTATTGGTTCTCCTATTTTCTTCAAGAATTACATAGAATTGGCGTTATGAACACTTACTCCTTAAATGTTTGGTGGGCTCCACCAGTGGAGTCACCTAGGTCTTTAGTTTCAAACATGTAAACACGTGTAGCTCCAAGTGCAATTTTTGTAATAGATATAGGGATATTCAGGCATTATCTATTTCTTCTTGAATGAAACTTGGTTATTTCTATCTTTCAATGAGTTCTAAGTCAGTAAATTTGCTGGCATAAAGTTGCTTGTAGATTTCCTTATTATCGTTGAATATCTCTGGGATCCATCTCTCGATATGCTCAGTCACTCCTGACATGTAACGTGTCTTCTCTTTTTCTTGATCGGTTTACTCAAGGTTGAAGGATTTTATTGAGTTTTTCTAAAGGACGGGGGTGCTCGTCAGTTGTATACATCAACCAGACTGGGCTTGGGTGTGCCGGGTCTCTGGTAAAACATTTCGTGGTCTGCGAGGGTGCTTCCAGAGTGACCAGCAGTGACTTGGAGGACAGAGGCAAGGAGATGTCCCCACACCAGTGTGGGCGGCCATCAGCCAAGGTTCAAACAGAGTACAAAAGCAGAGGAAAGACAAACAGCCTCCCGCCTGGGGCTGGGGCAGCCGCCGTCTCCTGGCCTTGGGCACTGAGGCTCGTCCGTCTCAGGCCACTGGGCTTGGGCTGAACCACATCCCCGACTGTCCTGGCTTTCTGGCTTGCAGAAGGCAGACTGTGGGACATCTTGGCCCCCACAAGCACACGAGCCAGTCAAAATGTGAAACATTTCCTAACTCCTCTTGTGTTATGGGTTGATTTCTGCCCCTAACAAAAGATCTGTTGCCACCTTAACCCACTGCACCAGCGAACGGGGCCTTACGTGAAGCAGGGTCTTCGCAGACGTGAGCAGGTTCGGATTCGGCTGCTTCTCCCCCGTTCGCACTCTGGGGTCTGTGATGCAGGAAGAGCTGTGTCTGCACTCCCCACACCCTCAGTTCTTGGGGGGAGGGGCTGTTTCATCTTCCTGAGTGTCCCCATCAGCCGACCGCTGTGGCCAGGAGGGGCTTTTCTCTCACTTTGGGCAGGCAGACATGCCTACCCCTCAGGAGTCAGGCTTTCTCAGCATCCTCACCTCCCCTGCGCCTGTCTCCCTGGCTGTCCTTGGGCAGAGGCGTGTTTCCTGCCCCTTCCCCAGAACCAGTGAGCTCTGCGTGGGCCCTGGGTTTGGCAGTTTCCCCACCACCCCTGCGAAGGCGAACTCCTCCCTGTGTAGCTGTGGATCTCTTCCTGGGCCAGGAGGGTGCGAAGGTTTCCTCTCCCACCTCCAGAGGCGGACGCTTTTGTTGCTTTAGAAGTAAGGTCTGGGAATCAGGACAAGTTTCATGCTGGGGTGCTTTCTCCAGTCCTCACCCTTGTCCCCCTTCCCCTACTCTCTCTGGTCATCAGCTGGTAGGGACCAAGGGAAAAAGATGAGCGTGGAACACCTTTGTGTTTGCAACTCCCGGCTCTCCTGCATCATCAGGTAAGTCATATTTTGTCTTTAATAATTCATTGCAATTGAAGCTTTTTCTTCCCATCTTTAGGGACGATTCCTCCTTTGCGCCGATGAGGGTGAGCCAGCTCCCTGCTCCTTCTCTCCTTGGAGGGGCTGTTACCGTCTGGAAATTCTGTAAACATCACTGCTTACAGCTTAGCTCTCTGAGTAACAGAGTCATTATTTTACAGATAATCTGGCTCCTTGCCTTGCAGGGTGGAAGGGACACTCTCGTGTGGCTTTCTGTATCCTAATTGGAAGCAGACTCCTCCTCCCTCTTGATTTAATTGGTCTCCCCCAGTGTTTCTGATGCTATTTTACTTCTCAAAAATATTTTTACTTATTTGAAAATAGCAGAAGGAGTGGGGGAGGGAGATGGAGAGATATCTTTCATCTGCTGGTTCACTCCCCAAATGCCTGCAACAGCCAGGGCCGGGTCAGGCTCAAGTCAGGAGGCAGGACTTCCATCCAGGTCTCCCACATGGGTGACAGGAACCCACGTCCTTGAGCCATCATCGGAGGCCTCCCAGGGCGCATTAGTAGGAAGCTGGGTCAGAGGTGGAGGCAGGGTGCTGGCACTGTGGCGCAGCAGGTTAACGCCCTGGTCTGAAGCACCAGCATCCCATATGGATGCCGGTTCGAGACCCAGCTGCTCCACTTCCGATCCAGCTCCCTGCTATGGCCTGGGAAAGCAGTAGAAGATGGCCCAGGTCCTTGGGCCCCTGCACCCGCATGGGAGACTCGGAAGAAGCTCCTGGCTTCAGATCAGTGCAGGTCCAGCCGTTGCGGCCCATTGGGGGTGACCCAGCAGATGGAAGACCTCTCTCTCCACCCCCTCCCTCTCCTCTCTCTGTGTAACTCTTTCAAATAAATAAATCTTTAAAAAGAAAAAAAAGTGGAGGCAGGACTCAAACCCAGGCACTCCAATATAGAAAGTGGGGCATCCCAAGTGCCCCCATTTTTCTTGGTTTTTGGGTGTTTCTATAGATTGTGGTCTCTCTAGATTTTGGCTGCAATCACTTAAAAACACGCCTCACGATGTGTTAAAGAAATAAGGACTTCGTTTCCGCACATTTCTCGCAGAATCAGAGGTTGGCGGCCGCCTGGTGAGAGTTACGTAAGAAAGTTGACTCACGCGAAAACAACTGTTTCTCCTCAGAAACAGCTCCGATCCGCGTTTTCAAACACTGAACACGCAGAGGCTTTCGTGCGGCCCGCACCTGAAAAAATCCAAGTCGCGCATCCCAGCCGGAAGTCACAGCTGCTTCCAAACACAACCAGGCCCGGCGCCCCCCGGCAGCCTCCACTCGCTCACCTGTGGAACGGGAGCGTTTTACTGAGGCGCCTCCCACGGCCCCTCAGCCGCCAGCACGCCGAGGGCGGCCCAGGGTCGCTGCCTCCGCGGCACCATTTCCGGGAAGTCCTCCCGGATTGCCGTGCGGTGCCCGACGGCGAGAGACGCGGTGACCGCAGAACTGGCCTTCCCGAGCGACAAACTGGACTGATTTAATGACCGTGAGCCCGGCGAGCTCCCACGCGGAACCCCCGTGCGCACCGGCACGGACCAAGCGTGACTAGCGTGGAGGAGAGCGGACTGAGCACCGACCCGAGTTCCCGAGGCGGCCTGAGCTTCAACAACCTCCCCACGGCCGGAGGTAACACCCGGATGTGGGCCCTAAGCCCCGCCCCACAGGTGCACCACTGAGCATGCGCGAGTCTGCCAGGGGGCCAATCAGGGCTTCACGATGTGCGCGGGGACTGCTGGGAAGGGGAGGGGCCGTGGATAAGGACTGAGTCTCCCGCGCCTGAGCCGGGCCTCAGCAACCGTTCGCAGGGGGTGCCCCCAGCCGTCAGGAGTAGGGGTTCTAGACCCCTGCCCAGACTGACGCGGGCCGGTCCGCTGTGAAGGGACGCGCCTCCTCGCCCCCGATCTGCGGGGACAAGCAGGCGATGGGGCTCTTGGGAGCCATTGATCAAGAACAAAATGGCCAGTGCTGTGCCCCCCGGGAAACAACCAGAAATCACCTGTGTACCCTCCTTTGCTTCCCGTCCGACAACCAATGCAACACGTGGAATCCTGGCTCCCCGTTCCCAGTCCTCAGCCTGTTTTCCGTTGTCTCTCCCGCTCCTCTGGATCTCAGTCTGCTCCCAAGCCCCCCACTCTCCCTCTCCCCAAGCTTGTGTTTCTCCCTCCCTCCCTCCCTTGCTCCCTCCCACACGGAGGATTTGTTTCTTCAGTAAAAGCAAATTGCAAGCAACTGCAAACCTCCGCTAGGTAAGATTCCCGTGAGCCCGCACAGAGGGAACTAGCCCTCCACCAGTGCGGACAGGAAGCTGAATCTCCCCCAGAGTCCTCGGGGCCCTGCACGTGTTAGCCCCGGAGGCTCATCCCCACTCTGAGCTCCAGCCTCTCTCTGCGCTGCTGAATTCACCCAACGGCTCCCATCTCTGAGGCTGGAGTCCCTCTCTCTGGCAAGCTCGTAGTAATCCTCGAGGTGTCGCACAGGACTCACTTTCTCCAAGGGGCCTTCTCTGGCTCTGGAATCTGAACTGGGGTCCCGCCTTATTTTCACAGACTACCCCGTCCTTTTTCTTTATTTTTTTTTTAATTTTTTTTTTATTTTTGACAGGCAGAGTGGACAGTGAGAGAGAGAGACAGAGAGAAAGGTCTTCCTTTGCCGTTGGTTCACCCTCCAATGGCCGCGGCTGGCGCACCGCGCTGATCCAATGGCAGGAGCCAGGTACTTCTCCTGGTCTCCCATGGGGTGCAGGGCCCAAGCACTTGGGCCATCCTCCACTGCACTCCCTGGCCACAGCAGAGAGCTGGCCTGGAAGAGGGGCAAGCAGGACAGAATCCGGCGCCCCCGACCGGGACTAGAACCCAGTGTGCCGGCGCTGCAAGGCGGAGGATTAGCCTAGTGAGCCGCGGCGCCGGCCAACCCTGTCCTTTTTCTTCCTAGAATTTACCAGCATATTAAACTAGCTTTGTATCTCTTTGTTTTCCTGTGTACCTGTGGTGGCCACAGAGGCAGGGTCAGGGTCTCCCTTGTTCCCTTCATTCTACGGACCAGGTTGTGAGCTCGTGTTCCCGTGGAAGCTACGAACTTTCACGCAAGATCAGGAGGGGGTTGATGTCAACATCCCCCCTGAGCACGAGGTAGCCGTCACACTGGTATTTATTCACAAACACAGCCCCAGGGAAGGGGTGACCTCTTTCTGTGCCCTGAAAATGACAGCATTTCAGCTCCAGAAGGGAGGCTGTCATCTGTTCTGAGGACAACAGCACACAGCCATGGTCCATTCTTTTTTTTTTTTTTTTTTGACAGGCAGAGTGGACAGTGAGAGAGAGAGACAGAGAGAAAGGTCTTCCTTTTGCCGTTGGTTCACCCTCCAATGGCCGCCATGGCTGGCGCGCTGCGGCCGGCGCACCGCGCTGATCCGATGGCAGGAGCCAGGAGCCAGGTGCTTCTCCTGGTCTCCCATGGGGTGCAGGGCCCAAGCACTTGGGCCATCCTCCACTGCACTCCCTGGCCACAGCAGAGAGCTGGCCTGGAAGAGGGGCAACCGGGACAGAATCCGGCACCCCGACCGGGACTAGAACCCGGTGTGCCGGCGCCGCTAGGTGGAGGATTAGCCTAGTGAGCCGCAGCACCGGCCAACCATGGTCCATTCTAATGCTAGAATTTCAATCCCCACATGCCTGCCTTGCAGCCTGACCAAGAAATCTCGCAATAACCTCTTAACTAGGCTCTTTACTTCTTCTAAGTGCATCTTTAATTCTCTTTCTCTACATAGCTGATCGCTTTGCTTCAAAACTTTCAGCAGATTAAAACTTATTCGTTCACTCAATTCTCTGACAGACATTTGAGAGAACTTGTTCTACATTTTAGCACCACTCTAGGTGTTCGTGATCAAGCAGAAAACAAGACAGGGCGAGGGAGGGTCTCTGCTCTTGTGAAGCAGGACATTCTAAGCTCCAGCAAGATCACACTGCAGCGCCTCATCTTGAAAACTTTCTCCACCTTTTGCCTGCTCCAAAGGCATACGGACACTAAGCGTTGAAGTTGGCATTCAGCACAATGAGATGGCTTCAAGGCGTGGTGCTCTCGGGTGTGAATCTTAGGAACTGGGCACACACAGGAGGGGCATAAAAAGTTACTTCTCCCTGGGCCTGTTTCATAGGCTCATCTGTATTTTCCCTTCTTTTAATGCCATGCAAGGGTGGGACATATTTCTTCTGGCCGATTCAAACAACACATGGTAGGTTTGCCTTGGCAGGCCGTAGGAGCAAGTCCAAGATGGAGCGTTGTCAATGGGGAACAAGTGTAAGGAGCAGCTTGGGGTGGAGAGGACTTTCTGAGCTGAGGGGCCTCTGGGGGCTCCAGGTTCATTGCAAACCCCAGGGTTCCTGAGAGCTCTCCGAGTTTTGTGGGCTTTTGTGATTCTGGGGCTAATGAGGACTCCAGGCATGATGGAGTTTCCATGGCTTAAGCGGCTCCGGTTTATCTTGCTTTTCCTGGAAGGAGAAGTACAGAGAGGGGAAAACAGAATGTTGGAATAGGTCTAGAGCGAGGTGTCCAAACCTTAAACGGACACCCCTTTGACCACACATTAAGACGATGTGGGGGAGGCACTGCTTTGCCTTTTCTCAGAATCCCACAGTTGGCGCCTGCAACCCCGCCTTCTCCCTCTGGTCTTCCCTGTGCATCCCCGGTACCTGGCATTCCTTGGGTTTTTCATAGACTATGCAAGGAAGTCTCGCCTGGCTTCCCCGGGCAGTTCTGGTCCCTCTCTCTTCTGGGCCACTGTAACCCCCTGGCTCAGTCCCCTTATTGTGAGGTGCCCTTCCCACCACCCTGGCTACTCTTCTGAGAGAATCTGACCCAATTTTGGGATCCCAGCAGAGAGACAAGGAGGAGGCATTTCAGTAACTATCGGTGGACTCTAGCAGATGCCTGGTTTGCTCACAAAGAGACGCCGGCTGCTAGCACCGAATGTTAGGAGGGAACGAGGCACTTCAAGTCCTGGAGAGTCATAAGTGGCTGATAACAGGGAGGCCTAGAAGCCTGGGGCACCGTCCCTTCCAAGTCCCGCCAAGGCCGTGTGATAAACCAACAAGTAACCTGGGTTTGGCTTCATCGCCATCACTTAGGGCGGACTCGGGCCCTGGTGCCCACGCTGCTCTCCTGCTGCCTGCCAGACTCAGAGGCCAAACCCTCTGTTTTCCACTCTGAAGCTGTTAGGTGGCCCCTCCCACAGCCCTCTTCTCAGTGGGGACCCAGGGTGCTGGTGCGCACGAGTGTGTGGAGGGTGTTGGTTCCAATTCCCCTTTATTTCTCTTAATTTTCAACTCTCCTTCCCTCTGCACGCCTTAGCTCCACCAACTATAAGATGATCTGCAGGCAAAACTGGGGGTGGGGGGGATCCTTTCCCCACAGCAATGTATGGGCCACTCCCCACGGTCTTATTCATGTGCTCCTCATAGACTAGATTCCAGGCCCAACAGATACCCACCAACAGCTGGCTCTCAGATGTTGGGGCGATGGTGGATTTTCCCGTCTCCTCGGGCTTCAGAGATCTCTGGGGTTCTTGGCCTGCTCTGAGTTGGGGGCTCCCTTTTGCTTTGATTGCTGCGATGTTCTTTGTCTGCTTCATTCGCATATGTTTCGCTCTGAGGAGAGGAGTTTCTGACCAGCTGTGGCTTACCACCTCCCTGAATCCCACGGCGGGCTCTGCTCTTGGCCAGCAGTTCCAGCCTTGAACCCCAGCAACACTGCCTGCTTGCTGTGTTGTCTGTGGAAATCCACACAGCCTCTGCGGGAATGGGTTTTGAGTGCCGTGTGGCAGGGAAACCCTGCCTGCCGGGCTGTGGGGGCTCGGCTGAGGTCAGCTACAAGAGGGCCTTGCAAACCACAGACAGATTGTTGCTGGTCGTTAAGTCCTCTTGGTTACACCTGGAAAACAGCTCCTCACTTTGTCTTGCCCCCTTCCTCCTCCTTCTCTCTCTTGAGAGCTCATGCCCCAGCGAAGGCCTGGCTCTTTCCTGCTCCCTGACGCTGGCACCGGCTTCCTGCGTGGCCTCTGGCCTCCTACCTTCTCTGGTCCGTATGCCTGCCTATGCTCACATTTTTCCTTCCCAGGTTAGCATTCCCCATGGCTCCCAACCGAAGATTCAGCCTAAGCCTTCTGGATTGGCCAGAGGTTCTTTGGCGGGCTCTCTGGCCTGACCCGCTGGAAAGTCTGGCCTTCTCACTCCAGGCTTCCAGCCAACACGTTCAGCCAGGATTCAAGAATCTTCCCGCACTAACACCAACCTCACTGTCAGCCATTACCTCAATGTACCTAACATCACACAAAGACTGGAAATGCCTCAAATGTGGACTTCTGCCATATGCTACTTTCCAACCAATGACAGCTCAGCATTCCTGGCCCACCCCGGACAGCGTCACAGGGATTCCCCTGGCTTCTCCAGGATCACAGTGGGCTCCTTGGCTCTCCTTTATAAAATGCCCAGCAGCATTAGTCTTGATGGCTCTGAACTGTGATGACCACGTTGGAAGTCTCTTTGTCTTTTGAGACTCTGAGGTTCTTGCGGGGGGTTGGGGGTGGAGTCCCTGTGTCTGTACTACCACGAGGATCTGCTGGGTAGCAGGCTTTGGGGGAGGCTTGTGGGTGGATTTTAATTTTTTTGACAGGAAGAGTGGACAGTGAGACACAGAGAGACAGAGAGAAAGGTCTTCCTTTTGCCGTTGGTTCACCCTCCAATGGCCGCCGCGGCTGGCGTGCTGCGGCCGGCGCACCGTGCTGATCCGAAGGCAGGAGCCAGGTGCTTCTTCTGGTCCCCCATGGGGTGCAGGGCCCAAGGACTTGGGCCATCCTCCACTGCCCTCCCGGGCCACAGCAGAGAGCTGGCCTGGAAGAGGGGCAACCGGGACAGAATCTGGTGCCCTGACTGGGACTAGAACCCGGTGTGCTGGCGCCGCAGGTGGAGGATTAGCCTAGTGAGCCACGGCGCCGGCCGTGGGTGGATTTTAACTCTGGTATTCATTTGCGTGTGCCCCCCAAAAGCTCATGCGTGAGAAACCTCATTCCCAAAGCTATGCTAATGGTGCTTGCGACTGGGACATTCGGGGAGCAAGCAGGATTGTAAGAAACCATGAGAGCGGGGAACCTTTGATGGCATTAGTGGTTATATAAGGAGAGGAAGAGGCCCCTCGCCAGCACCAGCATCGCCATGTGATGCTCTCTGCCACGCTGTGAGGCGGCAGGAAGACCCAGGCAGGTGCTGGTGCCGCGCTCTGCCCAGCCTCCACAGCCATGCGCCAGATCCTTTTCACAAACCGAGTGCTTTGCTTTAGCTTCGGAGAATGGACTGAGACGTACTCACATGACCGGGAGGAGGCAGAGGAAGAGCAGTGTAACTGCGAGGCTTCCGTAGACAACACCCTGGAGCAGCCCCTTCAGGAAGACCTGCGGAGCCAAACGGCTCTTTCCTGGAAGCAGGGAGCAGGTGAGGAAGGCTGCCCTCCCCAGACCCCTGATGTGGAGCCACAACCCTGCCCCTTCCTCCTGCCCGAGCGCCAGTCCCCACCCTGCTTCTCATCCTCACCCTGTGCCCGAGCCCCCGCCCCCACCCCCGCCCCGCACTCTCACCTGACATCAGCAGGATGCTCAGAGCATGGATCCCATTTGTGTTCTTCCCCTCACAAACAAGGCTCGTGCCTGTTTCCGGCTCCTCGCGCAGGCTGATGGTGCTGTTAGCCCAGGGGCCCAGCATGCTGGAAGTCACTTGGGGGCCTCTGTCTGTGCCGCTCACACCCACGGGGGCGCCTCTCAGCCACCACTGCACGGAGGGCGTGGGGATCCCGTGGAAGGAGCAGCTGCATTGCAGCGTCGTCTCCAAGGAGCAAGAGGAGTTGACCAGCCTGGCAGGTGCTGGGGGAGGGGGCGTGAGGAGTCAGCCAGGCGTCCGGCCTCTGCGCCCCTGCTTCCTCCGGGCCCAGCCTTCTCCCTGTGACTCACAAGGAGCCTCTGAAAGACTCTGTAAAGCCCCCAGACCCAGGGTCTCACAGACAAGTCTCCCTGCATCTTCCCTCCTCTGGCCTGAACACGAAGACTCACCCTTCTCTGGAAGCACGTCCGGTGCGTTTGATGAAGGCTGATGCCGGCTGTGGTCCCCACCTGCCCTAGGCTGGATATCTAAGCTGAGCTCCCCCTCGGCTTCTCTTCCTTCCATCCACGACTTTCCTGGTTTTGTTGTGATCATTTGTGACACTTGTTGGGCCAGCCATTTCCTTTCTCTTTGCTTCCTAGTGTTGAAAACCAGCGTACTCACCAAACCTAGTGTCATTGCTATGAGAGTGAACGCTTGGAGGCTAGTGGAGCCGCAAGCCCAGTGATGCTAAAGTATTACTGATTCAACGGATAGACCGCCTTTGTCGACTTCCTTCTCCCCACCCCCAAGTGGCCATCCCAATCCAAAACTGCTAGGGTGTTTTCTGGGGAATAACACTCAAAACTGCCCCCACTCTACATAAAATAGGCAGTAGGACTTTTGATCGTTTAGTGAATATCATGCACTCATAAGGAAAAGTCACCTTCACCAAGGAGTCCTATAGTGGTCCTTGATGTCTGCAGGTATTTCTTCATTAGGATTGAGGCTCCTGGGAGGAGGAGGGGCACGATTTCCCCTGACCAGTAGTTCTGGGTCTTTGGACATTCCATCTGGCTCACCAAAGGGAATGTTGCGGATCTGCAGGGCACTGTGGCACACAACGCCCACCCCACTGCTGTCTCCAGGTTGTCTTTTCCATATGAGAAAGGATGCCCATGGAGACTCCGAAAAACAGACTAAGTCGAAACAGCTCCTTTCAGGCTCATGTCTTCCTACTGCTCTAACTGCATGGCCACCCTTACGCCAATCTCACTCCCGGGCCAATCCGCCCCAGATAGCCCGGCCCTGCCACAACCAGGCACACGGCTGTCTAGTCCACCCTGGCTATTTGGTACCCGTGCCCTGGTGTCCTCTGTCTTCACACCACCGATCCACAACCCGCCCAGCCCGTGTCCCGGCTTCTGCAGTCGGCCCCCGCGCTGCTTCCCTTCTCACACACCTGGCTGTGCGTGTGGGAGCCCCATGTGCAGAAGCAGCAGCAGCGGCTGCCGGGAGCAGGAGAAGCCCTTGGCCAGGCGGTTCAGGAGTGAGGTGATGGGGACGTCAGAGTAGGCAAAGCAGGACATGTCCTTGGCAAGGCGAGAGCTTCTGTTCCTTTGGTCATCCCAAAGACCTGTTCACCTGGAGAAGCAGGAATGACACCAGGTGAAGCTTCAGGAACAGCTGGAGGCAGGGGGACCCTGCCACGGTTCTCTGTGAAGCCCCAAGACCAAGTCTCCTTTCCTCTCTCTCCCATGGTCTCAAAGCCCAACAGCCAGCTGGCTGTCCCTCAAAGGGAAGTTTTCTGGCCCAGAACCTCAGCATTCACCACTGGGTGGTGCTCACTGGCCTTTTTTTTTTTTTTTTTTTTTTTTTTTTTGACAGGCAGAGTGGACAGTGAGAGAGAGAGACAGAGAGAAAGGTCTTCCTTTGCCGTTGGTTCACCCTCCAATGGCTGCCGTGGCTGGCGCGCTGCTGCCAGTGCACTGCGCTGATCCGAAGGCAGGAGCCAGGTACTTATCCTGGTCTCCCATGGGGTGCAGGGCCCAAGCACTTGGGCCATCCTCCACTGCATTCCCGGGCCACAGCAGAGAGCTGGCCTGGAAGAGGGGCAACTGGGCCAGAATCCGGTGCCCCGACCAGGACTAGAACCCGGTGTGCCGGCGCCGCTAGGTGGAGGATTAGCCTAGTGAGCCACGGCGCTGGCCACTCACTGGCTTTTGCTACAACTCAAATCTTCCAATAGATTCCAAGACTTTTTCTGAGTACCTTCATGGATAGGAACAAGCAATATTCATGGATATGCAAAATGTGTCCTCCAAAATTTGAATAACTGAACCAAATACTGGGTCTCTAACATGTTCTGGCCACCAGATGTCCTCTACTGTTTTAAGTTAATAATCTGTGTGTGATTGGGCAATCTTACTGGTTTCCTGTTTAGCATATTCAGCCAATACTGGCTGAAGGGAGGATTTAAATGCCTTCTGTTACACAGTCATAGGTTGGGGAAACATCCTTCCAGCAGACACACCTTCCATCCCCATGATACATTCAGGTAACTGCATCCTTGTAGAGTGTTCAGCCATTCCAGTTTTCATCTGAATCTACTTAATCCTGTAAAATCTTGCAGGCCCATTCTAACTACAGCTTGCCAATCTAGCTATAACTCCTGTTAGGATTTCACCAACAGATTTTGGAATCACATTGTATGAGGCTCACATATCAAGGGAGCCTGGAAATATCTCTTACCCGTCTCCTGACCATTTTACTTCTAATATGAATATAATTTTCTGTCCCAGCTGGGGATTAAGCCAAGGGACCCAAGCCTTTTTGTCACTTATCTTTATTTATTTATGCATTTTTATGTACTGGAGAGGCAGAGAGAGAGAGAGATTGCATCTACTGACTCAGTCCCCAGATGCCCTCAACAGTTGGTACTGGGCCAGACAAAAGGCTGGAGCCAGGAGCTCAGTCCAACTCTCCCACATGCATGGCGGGGATGCGAGTTTTTGAGCCATCATCTGCTGCTTCCCAGAGTGTGCATTAGCAGGGTGATTGGATGGGTAGTGGGGTCAGAACTCAAACCCAGACATTCTGATATGGATTGTGAGTGTCTTAATCAAAGTTTTAAGTGATATGCCAAGCCCCCAGCCCTTGTCTTATAGGTTCCATTACCTCAGGGACATCAGTTACTCATAGTCACATTCGTCTTCTGACTTTAAACTTTCCTCCAGGGGCTGGCACAGCAGGTTCAAGCCCTGGTCTAAAGTGCCAGCATCCCATTTGGGCACCGGTTCTAGTCCCGGCTGATCCTCTTCCAATCCAGCTCTCTGCTATGGCCTGGGATAGCAGTGGAAGATGGCCCAAGTCTTTGGGCCCCTGCACCCACGTGGGAGACCCGGAAGAAGCTCCTGGCTCCTGGCTTCGGATCGGCGCAGCTCCGGCCGTTGAGGCCATCTGGAGAGTGAACCAGTGGACGGAAGACCTATCTGTGTCTCTACCTCTCTCTGTAACTCTGTCTTTCAAACAAACAAACAACAACAACAAAAAAAAACCTTTCCTCCTATCTAGGATAAACAGAGCAGTCTTGACTATGGCCCTTCAGTGTTGCAGACCTAGTTGGGGGGGAGGTCCCATTGGTCCAGCTAATTTCCAAGGGTGCTCCATAGAGACTTTTGTTTTAACTCCACTAATGTCTTCTTATAAGATTTGCACCATTTGTCGTGTCCCCTTAATTCTCCCTGTATTTCCTCATTCTCTTGTGAGCCACCATGATCTTCTTTGCTGTGTGTTGCTTCAGCATAACCTTTCCCTTTAGCGATGGCCCTGAGGTTAGCAGCTGCACTCAAACTGATCAGAACCCAAGCTTGGTCCAGGGTCATTTTAGCTGTTACAGACACAACCAACCAAGTGAACGCATATTTAGCTTGTTTCCTTATGCATCCATGATTGAGGGTTGGATCCATCATTGTGAAAAACCGTTGGTAGCTTGTACTTCCTGGAACTGGCTACAGAAATCCTCATTTCCATGCTTGTGGGTCACCTCCTTACAGTCCAGGAATCAAAGGTCAGTCATTCCAACCTTACACCCTTCCTTTTTTTTTTTTTGACAGGCAGAGTGGACAGTGAGAGAGAGAGACAGAGAGAAAGGTCTTCCTTTTGCCGTTGGTTCACCCTCCAATGGCCGCCGCGGCCAGCGCGCTACGGCCAGCACACCGCGCTGATCCGATGGCAGGAGCCAGGTGCTTCTCCTGGTCTCCCATGGGGTGCAGGGCCCAAGCACTTGGGCCATCCTCCACTGCACTCCCTGGCCACAGCAGAGAGCTGGCCTGGAAGAGGGGCAACCAGGACAGAATCCGGTGCCCCAACCGGGACTAGAACCCGGTGTGCCGGCACCACTAGGTGGAGGATTAGCCTAGTGAGCCGCGGTGCCGGCCACACCCTTCCTTTTTACAAACCATGGTCCAGTGATTCAGGTTGTTCTAGTAAACCCCATTCTGATGCCAACTGAAAAGCTAGGGATGCCGCACAAGATGCCCTCACTGCTGACACCAGTTGCAGATTTGGGGATCTCTTCTGACCACTCACAACTCTGAAATCAGTTGCAAGACTTTGGGGCCTCAGGACTACCCTTAGGTTTGCTTATCCACCAGATGTACTCACAGGATTCACTGAAAGCTGTTTCCCTCAGAGTTACTGTCACTCACAACTCATGGATACTGATTAAATCAGCCACGGATAAGGGCAGAGCCTGAGAAAGTTCCAACTGCAAAGCTCCAAGTCGTTCTCTTCCTGTGGAGTCCCTGACAGCGTAACTTAACCTTCCTGGTGATGTTGCACAACCATCGGCACAGGATATAACCAGGCAGAGAAGCCCATCCAGGCCCTGCATCTAGAGTTTTTATTAGGCCCCCGTCTATTGGGCAGGATTGACTTCCCCCCATGGCTGATCTTATTATCCAGCTCCCCCTGAAGTTGAACTGATATCCCTTGATTCAAAACCCCCATCCTAAATTACATTGTTAGACCACCTGGTCTGGTTAGCTCCCACTCCAAACCAGCCCTGTTGTTAAAAACATCAGAGAAGGGCCGGCGCCGCGGCTCACTAGGCTAATCCTCTGCCTTGCGGCACCGGCACACTGGGTTCTAGTCCCGGTTGGGGCACTGGATTCTGTCCCGGTTGCCCCTCTTCCAGGCCAGCTCTCTGCTGTGGCCCGGGAGTGCAGTGGAGGATGGCCCAGGTGCTTGGGCCCTGCACCCCATGGGAGACCAGGAGAAGTACCTGGCTCCTGCCTTTGGATCAGCGCAGCGCGCCAGCCATGGCAGCCATTAGAGGGTGAACCAATGGCAAAGGAAGACGTTTCTCTCTGTCTCTCTCTCTCTCTCTCTCACTGTCCACTCTGCCTGTCAAAAAAAATAAAATCAGAGAAGGCCATGCCTTCCCTGAATCACGTTTTTAGACCATCCAGTGTAATTCAAGGGGAGGTAACACTCCTATGATGCACGGCCCTCTCAGAGCATAGAGATTTCCTCCAGAAGCCAAGGGCCATGGCCAGATCTCTCTTCAGAGAAGGTTAAATTCCTTATAACTCTATGTTGGGTTCAGGAGAGCAGTTCACTAGGTTTGAAAATGAGAGATGTGTTTGGAGAAGAAAGTCCGAAAGGGGTCGTGTTTTCAGTTTTAAGCTGGATGGTGGGTATACAATGTTGGTAAGCCATTTTTATGCCTCTCAGTATGCCTGAAATATCTCACATTTAAGTGAAAATTGGATGGCCTGTCATTCATATAAAAGTTTTATATATGTGTATTGTATGTAAGTGTATACACATAAATTCACATATATTGTACTCATAAATATATATAGTGAATGAATATAGCAAAGCAAGGATGTATGACATGGGTAGAACATGGTTTAGGAAAAGTAGTTGATTTTAAATTTCTCATTTCCAGGTTTATTACAACATAGCTTGTGAGACACGGCCAGGGTGTATTTTCATAGAAGACAGCTTAGCCGGAGTGAAGCCACGACACCAGCCTCGGTAGCACGTAGGTCGGAGGGTGCCAAAAACCCCAGAGTAGGTCAACTGCTGAGGTTGGCTTGCGACCCTCGCACCACCTGTTACCTCTGTAACCTCCAACAATTCTGTAACGCAGGCTACACAGTGCTCCTGCGACCCAGGTCCCGGAAGTGTGTTGGCCTTGGTGTTACCACGAAGTTACCTCTCCCCCGGACACCCCCATCCCTGGTACCCCACCCACCCTGCCTTGGGCACCTGTCGGGTTTGGGTTGTGCCTGTCAAGTTCCTCAACCGAGGAGGAGCTAGGGGCGGGGATCCGAGGGGTGCCTGGGAGCAGGCACAGCAGATTTCAAGTACAGAACCCTTACCTGTGGTCACCCAGCTTTGCACCAGCTCTCCCCCGGCCCGCTCTCCTCTCCACATCCATCTTCTAGGGAGTGGAATGTGGGACTGAATCAGGCAGCCTAACAGACCCAGGGTCTGCCGGCGATCCGCAGTCTGACAGATTGGGCAGTCTCAGCGCCGGGCCAGCTCCCAACGATGGCCAGGGTCGCCCACAGGCCCCGCACCGCCTGGCCACCGACCAGTCACCCGCGCGGTTGTCGCCCTCGCCCTGGGTCCTGCGGGCGCCCCACCGCGAGAAGTGCGCGGCAACCCCGGCAGCCAATCAGCAGCTAGATGCGCTATGCCACAGCCAATCAGTGAGGCAATTGGAGCTTAACGCCCTCGGGCGCCTGCCTCTTGCGGCTGACGTACAGCCCCTAGAGCCAATCAGGAAAGGGCAGGGTCCGCCCTCCTCCAAGGGCTTCCGGCCTGAGCCCCTAAGTAGCGATGGACAAGGCTGGAGTCGTGGGTAAGGATGAAGCCACCAGCATCCTGTATCTGAGAGCTGGATTGAGTCCTGGCTGCTCCAGTTCCCTGCTAATGCGCCTGGCAAAGCTGCAGGAGATGGCCCACATAATTGGGCCACTGACACCCATGCGAGAGACCCAGTTGGACTTCCAGGCTCATGGCTTCAGCCTGGCCCAACTTCTAGGGTATCATTGAAGATTTGTGGGTAGCAGGGAATCCAAGCACTTGAACTATCTTCTGCTGCTTTCCCAGGCGCATCTGCAGGAAACCGAATCTGCAGCAGAGCAGCCAAGACTCCAATCCCCACTGCACTACGGGATGCCGCCGGCGCATGCACACTGTGGCTCAACCCACCGTGCCACAGCGCCAGCCCCCGAAGTGGCCACTTAACTTCTGCACCAAACGCCCACCCCAGAACTGACTGATATATGTTTTTTACCCTACAGCTTTGCTGAACTCATTTATTTGCGTCATCAGTTTCACACGCACGCACGTGTGTGTGTATGTGACACACACAGAGAGATCTATAAGTTTTTCTATATATCAACAGGTCATGTTGTCAGGGAACAGATATAATTTTTCTTCCTTTTCAGTGAAGTGCTTTGTAGCTCTTCCTGTTGCCCAGTGAATCTGGACAGAACTCAGTATTATTTTGAACAGAAGTGGCGACAGCAGGTGCTTTTGTCTTGTTCCTGGTCTTGGAAGAAAATACTTCATTCTTCCACCATTGAGTGTGATGTAAGCTATGAGTTTTCTGTGTATAACTTCTATTATGTCGAGGTATTCCTAGTTTGTTGGGCGTTTTTAGCATGAAAGGATATTGGATTATGTCAAGTGCTTTTTGTGCGTCAATTGAAATGATTCTGTTCCTGCAGTATGTTATGTTGATGGTTTTCATATGCAGAACCTCTGTGCGTTCCAGGAACAAATCTTAGCTAGTCATGGTGTGTGCTTCTGATTTCCGTTTGCTACTATTTTGTTGTAGATGCTTTTATCAATACACATAAGACATTGGTCTGTAGCCTTATTTCCTTGTAGTGTCTTCAGCTTTGTTAGCAAGGGTAACACTGGCCTCCTAGAACAAGTTAGGAAGAGCCCGTTCCCCTTCAATTTGGGGGAAGTACTTGAGAAGAATTAGTGCTACTTCTTTGAATATTTAGTAGAATTTACCAACAAGGCCAGCTGGTCTGGGGCTTTTCTGTGGGAGTTTTTTTTTTTTATTTTTTATCTTTGACAGGCAGAGTGGACAGTGAGAGAGAGAGAGAGAGAGACAGAGAGAAAGGTCTTCCTTTTTGCCGTTGGTTCACCCTCCAATGGCTGCCACGGCCGGCGCGTTGCGGCCAGCGCGTTGCAGCCGGTGTATCACGCTGATCCAAAGCCAGGAGCCAGGTGGTTCTCCTGGTCTCCCATGGGGTGCAGGGCCCAAGCACCTGGGCCATCCTCCACTGCACTCCCTGGCCACAGCAGAGAGCTGGCCTGGAAGAGAGGCAACCGGGACAGAATCTGGCGCCCCGATCAGGACTAGAACCTGGTGTGTGGGCACCGCTAGGTGGAGGATTAGCCTAGTGAGCCGTGGCGCCGGCCTGGGAGATGTTTTGAGGATTGATGCAATCCCCTTAAGTAGCTGTAGGTCTGTTCAGATGTTCTGTCTCTCCGTGATTCAGTCTTGGTGGGTTACGTGTTTCTAGGAATCTGTCCCTTCGTCTAGATGATGCGGTTTGCTGTGCACAGTTGCTCAGAGCAGTCTCCTGTGGTCCTTGTCAGCTCTGTGACGTGGGTGATAATGCTTTCTTTTCATAATCCGACGCTTTTCCTTAGCCAGTCTTGCTAAAAATTGATCCACTGCTGGTCTTTTAAGAGGACCAACTTTCTCATTTGCTGACTTTCTTTGTCATCTTTCTGTTCCCTGCTTTATTTGTCGGCACTCTCATCTTGATTATTTCTCCCTTCCTGTTAGCTCTGGATTTAATTTTTCTTTCCCTAGTTCCTTCAGCTATAACATTAGGTTATTGATTTGAGATCTTTCCTTTGTTGTGATGTGTTACAGCTGTGGGTTTCTCTCTCAGCACTGTTTCCACTGTATACCATACATTTTAGTATGCTGTGGTTTTGGTTTCCATTTATCACGAGGTATTTTCTAATTTCCCTTGTGATTCCTTCTTCGATCTGTTGGTTGTTTAAGAGTGTGCTGTGCAATTTCTGTGTATTTGTGAATTTTCATTTTCCTTGTGTTATAGATTTATAGTTTTTATTTCACTTTGATGGGGAAAAATGCTGTGTGTGATTTCAATCTTTTAAAATATGTTAAGACTTGTTTGTGGCAAATAGGAGGCCTCTTCCTTATTTCAACAGCCTCCATCTCCTCTTGCGATAATTCTTTTGAATAAAATCTCTCCTTATCTAAGTCTAGATTTGTTTATTTAAATTAAAGCACACATACAGAGAGAGAGAGAGAGAGAGAGACAGAGACAGAGAGACAGAGAGAGAAAGGAAAAGGAGATAGAGAGGGATTTTCCATCCACTGATTCACGCCCCAAATGCTTGCAGCAGCCAGGGCTGGGTCAGGCGAAAGCCAGGAGCCAGGAACTTCATCCGGGTCTTCCACATGGGTGGCAGGGACCCAAGCACTTGCACCATCACCCACTGCATCCCAGATGCATTGTCGTGAGGCTGGACAGGAAGCAGAGGAGCTGAGACTCCAACCAGAACTCCAGCATGGGATGCCGGCAGCCTAACCTCCTGCACCACAATGCCTGTCCCAGCTTTAAAGCGCAAACGTAAGGCACACAAGTTTCTCTTCTGACATGAGGCAGGCACTCCCCGGGGCATGGCACATAGTAGGTGTGCAATAAAGAAAACAAGCCTCGGGGTTTCCCAAGGCATCCTTTGTCAATGTGAATAAAAAGAACCAAAATGCACATAATCATTTTGAGACTGTCCAGAGGCGTCAAGGTGTTTGTGGCCACCCTGCAAAGAAGTGGAGAACATGTGTCATTCTGCTCCAGCATCCATGTGAGCCGAGGGGGCTGGCTCTGAGTCACTCTTCTCCATTGTTTTTTTTTTTTTTCTTCCACCACAATAGACACCTGGCAATGTCTGAAGATATCTGTGGTTGTTGAAACCAGGTGAGGAAGGCGCCTGGCATCTTGTGAGTAGAGGCCAGGGATTCTGCTCAGTCTCCTACAACGCACAAGACAGCCCCATGCCTGTGGGGAGCAACTGGGACTAGACTGAGTTACTGGAATTAAGACTTATTCTATGCATCTGCTCTCCCACAATATGGCGCTGGGAGAGGAGGAAACAGCTTCTACACAGCTGCCTCCAGTTCAACCAATAAACAGCAGGACCTGCTCCTGATTGGAGGAGAGCAGTGTACTCGGTGTGTGGGTAGCAGAGTTGGGATTGGTGGAAGAGGACTATAAAGGAGGAGAGAGACAACATGCACCAGGAACATCTATCTGAAGGAACACCTGAGCAGCCCCCGAGAGAGCCGGCCGGCGGTGTGCCGCTCCCCTGCGGAAGTGGGGAAAGTGGCCAGGGGGAACCGCCCTTCCACAGAGGTGGAAGGGACAGTAGCCAACCCGGGAAGAACCAGCAGCAAACCCAGGGAGGGCCGAGCAGACAAAAGAACAGCGCAGGGTCCTGTGTCGTTCCTCCACGAAGACGGGGAGCGACACATGCCGAAGAAGCTCCCAGCCCCAAATGAGGTGGATAAAGCCTGCTCCAGTACAAGGGTTGGGATGGGAGGGAAGGCTGAGAATGCAGCCCGTCTTGGGGGGTGGGGGGCAGCATCTGGGCTGGCTCTTGTAGGGTGAGCAGGGGCTGCAGAAATGGGGGAGAGGGAGCAGCATTCGAGTCAGGTGGAGCCTGCCTGGAACCTAAAAGGCACAAGGTCTTCAGGAGTGGCGGGGGTGTGACTGAGGTGTGTGAGGGGCGTGGCTGACGTGGAGGTGAGACTTCAAAGTCTTGCAGCCCTCAGGGATCAGGAACCTCAGCTTGAGGCACAGGGGCTGGCGGGGCTGGCAGGGCAGGATGCTTTGCAGGAGAACAGGGTTGGAGGTAATTACGAGGAGGCTGTCTGTGCCCAGGGAGGTGGGGTGAGACGGGAGCCTGCCGGAGCTCCCACCACGATCCCGGGGTGAGGTCCAGCCCTGGAGTCGCAGATCAAGGACGACTTGGCAGCCCAGGAACTCGGCGACTCATGGGGAATGGACCACGAGGGAGAGGGGGAAGTGAAATAGAGCTTTGGCCGGGAGGGGGGGGACCTGAAATAGGCTTCTCACTCCCCCCTGCACGTGAGCAGTGTTCTGCCCCGTGGTGCACAAGGGCACGGGTTCAATGAGAGTGCAAGCGATACACAATTATACATGTGCAGCCGGGCAGCTGAAGATCATCCAGTGCCCCGAGGGACTCCCTCGGCCGCACACGCTCGGCCCAGGCTCTCAGCGCAGACCATTCCCTGGGGCTCAGGTGCACCAGGCACTGTCTGTGTGCCTCGATGTGCCAAGTCCCGCAAGACACACCTGCACACTACGGTGTCGCTGGCCCCGTTGAACAGGTGACCAATGGAAGTTCCAAGAGGTCAAGTGCTGAAGCAGACGGGGTGAAAGTTGAAATTATCATCGTCTGTAGAGGTGGGATTCAGCTGCTGTAAAATGAACAGCTTACGCGTGAGCAGCTCCACAGAGCTTCTTGGCTTCGGAACGTTGCACAACCACCACCCCCGCCTCATCCCAAAGCACCTCCATCACCCGCAAAGGGAAGCTCACACCCCCGAGCAGTCCC